ACCTGCAAAGGCTGACCTTGGCCCTTTGTGACCCGGCCGCTCTGGGCCTGTTCATCAGAGAGAGCCCCTACGCCCACACAGGAGTCCACTCCTCTTCTCCCTCCCTCGCTAACTCTGCCTAATGAGGCTGCCGAGGCAGAGCCTTTTCTAGGCCAAGGGTCTGTGAACCTATAAATGCAGGTGATATTTTTAATCCACTTTGTTTTATTCCAACATCTATTGTTCAATTCCTTCAAGACTCCCATGGGAACTGATAGTGATCTTTACTGTGCTCCTAACAATTACTTCTTTTGGATTTAAAAAAACAAAAAAAGTAAAGTCGCATGGTTTTCTGTTCCCAGCAAAGAAAACTGGAAGCAAGTGTCCTCCTGAATAGAGTTGTTCCCTGAGCTCCTACGAAGTTTCTTGGGATCGGTGGCAGCTGTCAGTGGGGCAATTTCTGTGACGGTAAGAATGATGCAGATCAATAAAGAGTGGTCATTGGCAAAACAAGAGTCCAAGACCCCACACCACAGGATGGGTTGAGAAGCCCATCTCCTCTCTGGGGGACACCTCAGCCACCAGTGTCACAACTAGGAGAGAAGGCATCTCTGTTGTTTGAGCCACTGAGTTTGAGGCTATTTATTAATGGTAGCCCTTGGAACCAGTTCAAACCAAAGCAGGATTCAGGTATTATAAGGGAACTCAGGCTATTGTTTTGTTTTCACTATTGGGGATGAACACAGTGCCTTTGCACTGAGCTACATCCTTTTTATTTTCCTTTGAGACAGAGTCTCACTAAATTGCGAAATTGCCCGGGCCCGGCTCCAATTTGCAATCCTCCTGCCTCAGCCTCTCGAAGTGGCAGGATTTCAGCAATAAGTTACCACACTAGGCTTATGGAACTCGGGCACTCTAATGGAACATTCTAATGGGACTTGGGGATTCTAAAGGAACTCGGGGGTTCCCAAGTGGGAATGCTATCTGCTGGGCTCCCGTCCTATGCCAGAAGCTATACCAGTGATTCACCCTGGCTATCTCTGACCACAGAATGGACTAAGCTGGGCAGTCATGGCTATTACCCCACGTACCTGAAAGTGAAACCACACCGAGGCTGAGAGCTGTGTGTACACAGCCAGGGCACGAAGCACCTGTGCCCTGTCCCCAGGCCTCCCCTCTGGTCTCCTCCACGTGCTGAGTAGTCCAGGACAGAAAGCTCTAAATGGAGACTTGTTACCAGCTTGTTGGCTTGTGTCCCCCCACACCTAACACCCACAGCAGTGAGATGCTGCCCACGCTATATTTAGTAGAGAGGGAGGAACTTGGGTTTATTAAAAGAAACACAAGCAGACATACTTGGTGTCCGTGTTTAAAGTTCCATCCTTGACTGACAGTTCTAATGTGATTTTAAGGCCTGTGGTGACAGGATGCTCTGGCCAGCCTTGCTGTGGAAACCGGTCTGCTGGCATCTGCCCAAAGGACACAGGTGCCACAAAGAGTCAGTGGCTTATTGGGAAGAGGTGGTGAGGCGTTCCAGATGACTCCTTGGGTAGAAGAGCCACGAAATGAACCCGGGGTTGCAGGGCCACGGGGCAGAGCTGACTCTGACAAAGGTCTCAAAAGCTGACCTCCTGGGAAGGGGTCTCTGCCTACAGGCGTCACTTCCACACCTGCGGAGACCTCCTCCTCCTCTGGGGACACTCTTTTTGATATGTCAAGAAATAATTTCACTTCTTTCTTGTTTGCTTTGCTAAAAGAGTGTGTCCTGTGAGGTGTTGCTACTTGATTTGACAGGGGAAAAAATAAAAACCCACCCAGATTCAAGTCAAGTATGAATTATCCTGCCTCAGCCTCTTGAATGCTGGGATTACAGACTCACTTTGCCACGACCGGCTCAGAGGCTGGCAGTGTAGTTCTCACCAAAGCATGCTCCACGGCAACAGAACAGCACCCAGGAAGGAATGCGTTCTTTGTGGATGACACTTGCTTTTCCAGGCCCGCGGAAGTGAGCACAACCAGCACCTCTGGAGTCCTGACAGTTCTCAGCTTGGCCATTTACTCATTTTTACCTGCCCTGATTGTGGGGCTCAGTTTCCCCATCTGGAAGTGGAAGGTGGACAGGATGACCTGGAGGTTCCCTGCACTGTCCCCACACCACCCCAGCCTCAGAGTTGCATTTGGGTGCCACCAACAGGTCCATCTTGGGGCCGAGGGGTCTACAGAGACTCCTGGAAAGGGTGGTCTTGAGTCCTTCTGCAGGAAGTCACTGCCACTCCTTTGACACCCTCGCTGGACATCTGGCGTCTTCCCTCTCCTCTGTTTTAGTGCTTATGTTATATTTGCCTTATTAAGGCCCACTTTGGCTTTCTGTTTTATACCTTACAAGGAATAACGCCAAATACAGGGCAGACAGCCGGGAGGGAGATGGGGGGAGGGAGAGAAGGGAAAGGAAGCAAGAAGGGAGGGAGGAAAGGTGTGGACAAGGCAGCAGGCCACTTCTGAGTGCCCCAAGGTGCCGTCAGGGAGCATTAGTACCAATGCTGCCCTTGCAAAGTGGGTGTGGTGGTGGACACCTGTAATCCCAGCACTCTTGGAGGAGGCTGAGGCAGGAGGATCACGAGTTCAAGTCCAGCCTGGTCAATTTTGCAAGATTCTACTTCAAAATAACAACAGAACAAATAAAAGGGATAGGAATATCACCCAGTCAGCACAAAGGCCCAGGCTTCCATCTGCACTGCTAAAACAAACAAACAAATAAACAAACAAAAAACTGCCTTTGGCAATAGCAGCCAAAATGACTGTAAACTGGGCCCTGTCACAGGCTGTCACCACTGCTCCTCGCTGTCCCGTTGGGCTAGAATTGTGACCCCCACTTTATAGACCACAAACAGAGGTTCAGAGGGGCCCTTGGTCAGGGCACAATGTACCTGGTGGTATCAGAACCCGGGTTATAAAGGTCCACGTGGTTCTGTAGAGAAAATCCCAGCCCCAGAGAACCAGAAAAGGGAGTGAGGTGCCCTGAGGGTCGTGTGGTCACCATAAATGACTGGGACATGAGGACTGGCCATCTGTCCTTGACCATGTCACCTCTGGACGAGGCAGTGACTCCCATTCCCTACCATGAGGGCTGCCATGACACGGGTCTGCTGAAACCAAGGTGCCTGTGGCAGCAGCAACCTTGTCTCTGCCTGGAGCCCGACTCTCCAGTGAGGCTGGGGTCTGGAGTGAGCTTGCCCTTCTTCTGGGCACTGCCATGGCCGTCAGTGTCTGGCCCTTGGACTCCACAGACCTGGAGTCCACAGCTCTTCCCGAGAGGCAGGTAAGCCTGGGCCAGCGGTCTGGACCCCCAGTCCCTCCTGCAGAACCGAAGCACACGGGCCTGGGCCTAGGATGGGGCCCTTTTGGGGACACAGGGTTCCTGGGCCTCGCCATCAATACCTTTTTCTCTTAAAGCCGCCCTGGGGTGGGGAGCCCAGCTGTGAGCTGGATTCTGGTCAGCTGAAGGCCAGGTGTCCCCAGCAGTGAGGTGTCCGGGGACATCTGTAAGAATTCGTTCCTTTCCAGCCCTCCAGGGCCCCACCTAAACACACAGCAGCTCTTGCCTACATCCAAAGGCCAAGTCTGTGACCTGCCTGGGACCAGGCAGCACCTGGGACTCAAACTCCTTGCTCTTCCTGCTCGGCCCATGGAAGGAGGAGCGTTATGGAAAGCCAGCCCGCGGCGCACACTCACTCACCTCCCAGGTGGAGTCTCAGCATCGCACCACTCCGAGGCTGGACCACTCTGGCTCAGTGCTAGCCGGCTGGAGGCCCTCCCTCAAGCAGTCCCGGTCCTGGGCGTATTAAGACAGCTGTCACATGGCCAGCGCCCGGCAGCTCCTCCCGGGTCTTCCTGGTCCCGAACACTGCGGTCCACAGGGAGGCCCGTCGCCTTGGGGACAACACTACTGTCCCTCTGCCCCTCGCTGTGTCCCTTCTAGCCATGGCGGGGGTCTGTCCCTGTGGAGCGGCCTTCATCCGAAACACCCCAGAGTCCAGCCAGGTACCGCACGGCTTCATCCTCGTGACCACTGGCCGTGGAGGCAGAGTCGGGCCTGTGATCCGTGCCACGCAGGTGAGAATACAAGGGTTTGCCATGCTCCTGGCAGGTAGGAGGTGTCGCTCAGAGCTGTGCCCAGCTCCTGCCCACCATCGGCACCGCTAAGGCCGGTGGGACTGTCCCGACCTCCACCTCGCTGGAGGGACGCCAGAGCTGCTCCGCTCCCTGTCTGAGCCTCAGGCTCCCTGCCTGTGAAGTGAGGGAGTGCGGGCCATCACCCGGGTGGCTCCATCGACCCCTGCCACCCCTGCCTCCTCTCCCCAGTCCTCCCCAAACCCGGCCGCTCCCCACCCCATCCTGCTCACCGTCTGGCTGCAGGTGGAGAAAGCTGCTTGGGAGCAAATGAGTGACAATGCTGCCCAGCCAGCTGTGGACACACAGCAAGCGCGACTGGGAGCAGAGAGCGCACCACCCACCTGTGCTGCCCCTGTACCAAGGAGGACAGAAGTGATCTGAAGTCAGGTGAGGACACGGCACTGCTTGTCCCAGGGCCCTGAATTTCCTTGTCTGTCCAGGCCCTGGCTGCCCAGGACTCTGCCTGGAGAGACGGCCTCCCCTGCAAGGACCCAAGCCTGAGCTGTCATCACCCATGACTGCACTCCCTGCAGGGCTCCTAAAGCAAGGTTCTTTGCGACCCAGAAATAAGACAAAGTATAGTGCAGGAGGGCAATTTGGATTTTTGACCCACTGAGTAGGCGGGCTACTGTGACTATTCTATTAAAAATTCAGCACAGCCTGGTAAGGTGGTGCACACCTATAATCCCAGCACTGTGGGAGGCTGAGGCTGGAGGATCCAATTCAGACCCAGTCTGGGTGATTTGGTGGGGGGGTACTGGGGATCGAGCTCAGGACCTTGCACTTGTGAGGCAAGTGGCAGAACCACTGAGCTAAACCCCTAGTCCCCCACAGCCTGGGCAATTTAATGACTTAGCAAGAGCCTGTGTCAAAATTTAAAAAGAGCTGGGGTATAGCTCAGTACAAAGGCCATGGGTCCAGTCCCCGGTGCCAGGGCCCAGCGCATAGCAGACGTGTCTCAGCAGGGCTGGGTCTTGCAGATGGGTTGCAGAACTGCTAGCTGCACCTTTCTCTCTGGCCTGGCAACTTGATCAGCACCTTGTCCTTGATGCCCGAAGGACTCAGGGCTGGCCTGACTTCCAGACCTGGGGCACAGTGGACACTCACCCTCAGGCCAGTCTCCTCTTCCTGAGCTTGCTCTGGAGGAGTCTCCGGTGGTCTCCATTCCCTGGCTCCCTGGGCCAGGCTCCCATCCCTGGGCGCTCCGGGGTTCTGGATCCACATCTTCCCAATACCCTCTCCAGGAACCTCAAACTCCCCAAAGCTGGACTCTCCTGGGTATGGGCTAGGCTCCCTCCCTGGCCCTACACGATCTCCAGGGCTCTGCCCACAGCCCTCTAGATGCCCCCACCGCCAACTTTCTATCTCCGCCTGGATGTCCTGAGGCACCTCCAGGCCAGCTCATGCACAAACACCCCTCCCTGTGTCCCACTGAGACAGTGTTCCACTTGCCGGCACAAGTGACAACAGCATTCCATTGGCAAGAGACAGGAGTCTACTGGCAAGTGACGGTGCTCTGCTGCTGGTGACATCTGATGGACAGGCGACAGTGTTCCATCCTGCTGGCGGGTGGGAGCACAGAGGGGTGGGACGGGTACTGGAGTGAATCACAAAGGTGTGGATTCCAGTCCTGTCCTCCATAACAGGAAGGATGAAGGGGACACTGCCTCACCGGGGGATGGGCTGGGTAGCAGACACACGTGCGAGACCTGACCCAACGGGGCTCTGGGATGTGCCTCACCCACCTCCAGCCCTAGGGGCTCCACCAGGGCAGAGACGCCAGCCTGATGCCCTGTCGAGGAAGTTGTTAGCTGTGCCCCACCAGGCCAAAGCAAGGGGGCCAACAAACCACAGACTGAAGCCTCTGGGGCCAGGAGCCCAAATGCTCCTCTCCTGGTGCTGAGCTGATTGCTCAGGGGTTCGTCACCGTGACGGAAAGCATCTCGGAACAAGATCACAGACGTTCAGACCACAGCATTTCCCTTCTTCCCACTGTCTGAGTGAGGGACAGGCCAGTGGAGTGGGCCCAGCTCACCCTCAGCCCTGTCTGGGGCCACCACAGAGATGACATCTGAGTCTGTCCCTTGCCCGCTCCAGTGCCCTGCCCTACCCAACCTGATACTGCTTTTTGGGCCACTGCAGCTCACACAGCTGCTGGTAGCCAGCTTTCCAGGCGCTGACCTATCCTCGCATTGTGGCCGAAGTCGCCCTGCCCAGCGTGGCACTGAGGGTGCCTGGCCCTGCTCCCCAGTGCCCAGGACAGCCTTACTCCTTGGATGACACCAAAATCAATCTCCCTCTCCTTTCCCAGTGCAAGTCCTCCTCAAGGATCACCTGCCCTTTTCCTTTCTCCTTTTCTCTTTTACCATTTCTGGGGAGCTGGGGCCCTTCACTACTGAGCTACATCACTAGTCCCTTTCTTTTCTTTTCTTTTCTTTTAGACAGGGTCTCACTAAGTTACCCAGGCAGGACTCCAACTTGCAATCCTCCTGCCTCAGCCTCCCTGAGTGCTGGGATGTGCACGACCACACCTGGCTATACCCAGCCTTTTCCTAACAACCCCCTGCCATTTACACTGGCACCTCAGCACCCTGGCCAAGCATGTTTCTCCTGGAGCCCTCATTCCCACTCCCCACCTTGCAGTACCAGGGCACCCTGCAGACCCTCTTCATCCACCTGGCTCTGGGAGAAGGCTGCACACACCCTAGGCAGCTGTGACTCCCCAGACTGTAACCCCCTCAGCCCCAGTCTCCGGCAAGGCGGCCCCTCTGAGGCAGGGGCTCCTCACAAGTGGGACCTGGAGCCATCCACAATGGCCCAGCGTAGAGCCCAGACACCCCGGCTTGAGGAGCCGACTCGTGAAGTCTGCATGGAAATCATTTTTAATATGCTGGAGCACATTAAAAATGCATTAGGAAAGCAGGCGATTGAAATGGAATTCCACAGGGAATCATTCTCTAAAATCAAGAGGCTCTTTTTAATGGGAATCATCAGTCCCTAATTCACACGGTGCCTGGGATGAATCTTCATTGACAATATCGCCTCTCTTAATAAAAAGAACATCTTACAAGGACAGTATCCGTCACCAGAAACTCCGTTCCCACAGGCAGTAATAATGTTAGGTGAATGGTTAGACCAGGAAATACAATGAAATATTAAGTAAAATGATGTCAAGTGGCCAAGAAACTAGGAGGAACGTTTCTAGATGCCTTTGCTGGAGGTAAGGGGTGGAGGCTAGACCAAGATGGCTGTGAGGTAGTTTGCGGGACTATATGCAAAATGAAAATGAAGGCCCCTTCATGATTCTATTTTTTTTTTTTTTTATACTGGGGATCAAACTCAGGTCCTTGTGCTTGCAAGGCAGGCAGCAGAAACACTGAGCTAAATCCCCGGTCCAGTGATTCTAAATTTTAAGGCAGTGACAGGTATAAATCAAGGTTGGGTCTTTGTCAGTGCGGGACCCGTGCCACTGTACAGGCTGCACATCCTATCTTGTAGTAAAGCCTTCCCGGGACCCCACGAGAAGAGTCCCGGCCTGGCTGGCAGTTGCCTGTAGGGCCTTTGGCTCATGCTTCCATGCTCTTAAGACTAGAGAGTGAAATGGATGATAAAGTCATCAGAACTAAAAGGAGACAGGGGTCCAAGCAGATTCTGGTATTTACTGAAAATTCTGTGATAAATCCTAATGGACCCTCTGAAACCGAACTTCAGTGTCAGCCCAGCCACAGAAGCAGGCAGCCCTATCTTCTCACACTCACCCCCAAGCTGCACCTGTCTCACCACACTGAGGAGGCAGGGCTGAGGCTAACTTCCTGCGGATTCCGGGGCTGGGCCTGGCTCTAGCAGGCGACCTGGAGCACGTGAATGAGGGGACAGAGCACAAGTGAGCCCTGGAGGCCAATGCGGAGCCAGGCAAGGACAAGGGTGTGGCCCCCAGTGGGGACAGCGCAGGGCAGGTCCAGAGGGTCAGGTCCCCGGAGGCCAGGAGAAGAGGGGTAAAGAAGCAGGGCAGGTGTGCAGACCGGCGCTTCAACTCAGCCCCTCCGAAGCCTCGACCCACGCCGGTAGCCGAGCCTGCTTGGGATCTTGCCCACCCAGCCTGGAGCTCTGACTCCTCCCACACGGCCTGCGGCCCCCGAGCAGCGTCCAGGCTACCCTGTTTGCAGTGGGTCTGTCTCCGGTGGCTCTCAATGCCTGTCTGGTGGGCTCCTCCAACCCAATAGAGGAAAGGCAGCGGTGGCCTTGTCACCTGGCACCTGTTTGTGAACGGTGTTACCGGAGGGTAACAGGTCCCAGAGGACAAGAATCAGACTTCTTCCCAGGCCAGGCCAGGTCTTTCTTGACACCATGACCTTGGCCCCTCCTCTTGACCCTGCCAGGGTGCAGATTCCCCATGCACGACACAGGGGTCAAATCCAAAAGCCATTGCGGCTCCTCCAGTCCCAGAGTCGCTCAGTTCAGCCGCATCCCTCCTGGCCTTCACTGGATCATACCCAACATCTCGGAGCTGCCACTTTGTCGCACAACTGTGGTGTCTTCCGTCCTCCCCTAGTGTGATGGGGGCTCTTCCTGCCCACCCCACCCCAGGGGGCCTGCGGGGACCCCTCTTCCTGCTCAGCAAGTCCTTACAGAGAGCTCTATTCGGAAGCTCCAGTCTCACGAGAGCCTCCTTTCCCAGATAATTTATCAAAATGTTAACATGTAAGAAGGCCCCTCTAGAGCTGTACTTTTTGATCTGACAAAATGTTTAATTATCCTTCCCCATGTTTCCCTGACTTTGCATCATCTTACTTAAAACAAAGCTTTCTCTTTTTTTTTTCCTTCACAAAACCAACTTACCTGTAGATTTTGAAAAAGTGAGTATACATCTCGGTTCTTTCCTGCTCATTATTTATCCACTGGAAAATAATTTGATCCCAATATATTCTACCTCCTTCAGGTTAGAGGTAGGATATACTTCTGCTCCTGTCCTGGGACTTTTGGGTGCAAGTTGTCAGAATCTAAAATGGAGTCACTTTCGTCAAGCCCTAATCCAAAAGATAAATAAACAGACGGAGCTGTAAGGCTTTGAGCCATGCATGCCTGCCAACAGAAATCCTTACAAAAGACTGCCAGAACCACCACCTTGCAGCCTTACACAAAAACACTTCTGCAAAGACGCCCACCTAGCAACTGTCTGTGTAACCTGGGACGGACACCACCCTTGGTGTTGGTCCCAGAGCCAACGATTTATTACTTCAAAATACCTTCCAGAATCCTCTACTCCAACACCCTTTCAAAACTGCTCATTTCAACCTCTTTTAATTCGCCCACAGGTTACGGAGGCAGGGCACTCCCATTTCAGTACTCTCAAATAAATTCCTCCCAAATAAATGAGAATTTCTCTCTCCTACTTTCTCCCTCTCTCCCCTACCCGCCCCCCATACCGGGGTGTGAACCTGGGCCTTCACATTGAGCTACATCCCTAGTTCTTTTAAATTTTTTTTTTAAATTTTTATTTTGAGACATTTCCAGTAAGTTGCCAAGTTTCCCAGGCTGGACTTGAACTTGCAATCCTCCTCGCAGAGTGCTGGGATTACAGGCATGTGCCACCCAGCCTGCGAGTCTCTCATGAGGACACGTGGACAATCTAGGATGATCTGATCTCAGGAGATCCTTAACTTAATTCATCTGCAGAGACCTTATTCCGGATAGGGTCACTGCCGCGATTTCTGGGGGCAGGGGCTGCAGGCTGTGGGTGTGGCCTGTGGGGAGCGGCTATCCGTGCATCACAGGCAGTGAGGCTGTGGGACAGGAGCCCGGCAGGCCTTGTCCCGGGGGAGGTGAGTGGGGACTCCCGGCCTTACCTGTGTACCGGCCACCCCGCCATCACGTCCTGTCGCTCTCTACAGGGAGAGAACCAGACACCGTCCCCTCGTAAGAGTTCCACAGCTGCCCGCATCTCCTCTGTCACCTGAGGGTGGACGTCTTCATCTGCAGAGCCAGCAGGAGGATGTCAAGAATAAGGTCATCCTAGCTCCGATATCCTCGAATCTCAGCAATTTCAGGTGAGAGCCAAATACTAATTCCCTCTCTCCCTATCTCTCCCTCTCTCTCTCTCTCCCTCTCTCTCTCTCTCTCTGTCCTCCCACCTCCTCTCACCCAGATAACCCCTGACTTGGGGCTTCTCACCCTTTCTCGCCTGTTCTCTGAAGCTGAGACTGACCGTGCCGCGGCAGTAACTAAACAGCGGCAGGAGTTACCACCGTTCGGAGAGCTGGGTGCTCTTTTAACCCCACAGTGAGAAGGGGACGTTTTTAAAGTTCAGGTGATTCAGGTACAGTTCACACTGCCACTGTCTCCCACCGCAAATCATGTGCCAGGAAAGGGTGATGGATAGAGACTTGGAAACTGTAGGGGGACTTATGTTACTCGGGGAATTTTAATTAGCTGCCCGGTCTCTTTGTTCACCTAGAAAAAGCCAGTCCCTGGTTTGCAGGGCTGGGGGTCCATTGCAAAGGGTAAAAATAGCTTACAACATCCCTGCAGGTTAGAAGAGGAGGAGCTGTGAGCGGGGAGGGCCCCACGGGCGGAAGTCCCAGCTGCAATAGCTGCCTCCCCTCTCACCTGCTTTCCGGAGTGTCTGCAGTGGTGTGGCGTGACTGCCTTATGTTCTGAATCGATTAAAACCTTTGCTTTTCATGGTCATTTTGACTTTAGGGAGGAGCTGGGAATCGCACAGTGTGAGAGCCGGTGAATAAGGTGGCTGAGGACACGGCGTGATATTTTTACAAGCTGCCTTTCTGCTGGATCACCCTTGGCAGCCGCAGTTACGATATTTTTGATCACAACACATAAAGACACTCAGGAAAGGAAACTTCCAGAACCGCTGAGGAAAGTGGCAAGCATGATGGGATGGATAGGTTGGTTTGAAGTAAAGAGGATTGTTTTGAGGCTGATTAATGGCAATTGCTGTAAGAATTTTTTAAAATGTAAACATTCAAACTGGGCGTGGTGGCGCACACCTATAATCCCAGCACTCGGGAGGCTGAGGCAGGAGGATCACTATGAGTTCAAGACCAGCTTGTGCTACACAGTGAGTTCCAGGTCAGCCTCAACTACATAGTGAGACCCTGTCTCAAAAACCAAAAAAAACGGCTGGGGATTTAGCTCAGTGGTTCCGCCACCTGCCTTGCAAGCGCAACGATCCGAGTTCGATCCCTGGTACCAAAAAAGAAAAAACAAATAAAAAAGTAAACATCCACCATATATTTTGATCCCTCATGTATACAAAGCCAGCTAATGGTCACTACAGTCATTTGCTAGGACCTGAAGGAGATCCACAGGGAAGGATGTGTGGGCACTTCCTGCACCACAGAGAAGCTTCTTACCTCTTCCCCAAATTTCTCCTGCGCCTTAATTTGAATACACAACCACGACGGGCAGCCATGTTTTCCTGGTGACCCTGTGGCTTTCCCTCGCTGTGAGCTGTCCAGAGCTTGCCCCACCAAGAGTGTGTGGGAGGTCCTTCTGCAGATCGCAGCCCAAGGCAGATGCACAGAGAACAGCTGTAAAGAAAGAGTGATTCCCGGTTCCAGAGTCTACTCAGAGGGGACCTCGGGGCCAGGGTGCACCTGGCCATCACCTCCTCACACTGTCATAAAAAGAAGTCTCACGGCTGTGGGGGGCGGCAGGAGACACCCAAAGTCTCTGTGGGCCTGGGGGGACGAGTTAAGGATCAGTCACAACCATTGTGCTTGATAGCAGCCACCTTAGGTAAAGACTTCCCCGGCCCAGGAACACCATACAGATGTGAAGGTGACCCGTCGTAGGATGCCGGCCGGGTTTAGACCTGAACGCTCACGTGTGTGGAAGGCTGCTGGATCACGGGGCGCTGTGCTCCTCGCTCTTCAGTGGCTTCATCTGCTTGAGTTCACAGCTGACTCGCAGTTGGGAGGTGGGGCCTGGCTAGAGGCTAAGGAGGGAGTATGACCTGGAAGGGTGGGTCTCCTTCCTGGCTCCTCCCTGCTATCTCTGATTCCTGGCTGCCATGGGTCGAGCCCCTATTCCTCCTCCATGCCCCTCTGCCATCCTCTTCCCTCCTCAAAGCTAGACAGCCACGGGCCAAGACTGGGAGCCACAATGAACCTCTCTTCCTTTCAGTTGTGGGTGTCACGCACCGTGTCTCAGTGACAGGAGAGTGACTAATACAGTGCACAACCCGAGCACCGGAGAGGTTCAGAACCAGCCAGGGACCCGCAGGGCAGAGGGCAGTGGCAAGCCCAGGAGGAGAGCAGCAGCACCTCCGACTCCCTGCTCTCCTGCCGCCTTTCTCGTTATTTGAGATGCTTTCCTGGGAGGGGACAGGGAAGAGAAGACAGAAAGAAGAGAAACATAATTAAAGCCACATGGGAGTACTGCAGGGCCTTGCAAGCGTACCCTCCCTCCATGATTACTCGCCCTGCAAAGTGGTAGAAATATTCTGCGAGTGCATATGGGCCTGAAAACAAAACTGGAAAAACCCAAGTCTCTTTATGTCCCGAAGAAATTCTTTGGAAAGCTGTCCCCAGGGAAATTCAAAGAAATTTAAAAATAAATTAAGTCAGACATAACTTTGCTGAATTTACCATTACATCATCCTGGAAGCTGGGGGAAATGTGATATTTATACAGCTGAGTTATAAACTGTGGTTTTTACGAACCAAAGAAAGACACACAGATCAGGAATGGTGCCTATGTAACAATCGTTGCTTATGGGCCTCCAAAAATAATATCGCAAAGAGAGGAGACTAGTCATCCACTGATGGAAACTAACCCTGTGTGTAAAATGACAGGTTAGACATCTCTCTTTCTTTGTGTGAATGGAAAGTTCTCCTTAAAGAATGCATTTTTAAAAAAAAATCAGAGAGGGGTCGGAGATTTAGCTCAGCGGTTCCATGGGCTGCCTTGCAAGCTCAAGGACCCGAGTTCAATCCCCTGTACCAAAAAAAAAAAAAAAAAAAAAAAA